ATTCTATTTAATCGTAAGTACTGATTAAACAATATTAGTTAAAAAACCTTTTTTATGAACATGTATTTGTTGCATTACGTATAAAACTCCAGTGGAGTTTATTCTTAAGGCTGCCCTTATCACTGAATTTTCTATTTGCTTCTCTGGCTTGCGTCTATAGGGATGGACAGTCCATTCTTGCTTGATCATGATTACGTCGCACAACAAGATGGCCAAACTGGCTCACCTTTACTTCCTTGCAGGTTTCTGCTTTTTTCTTTCCCCATAAAGGTAATACCAAGATCTTCCTCTGTTTTGGTCCTCATGCAACCCATGCCAGCCCAGCATTACTATTCCCACCCATGTAAGGGTCCTAGCTCTAGCAGTCACACAGAACATATCAGCATATTCCACACTAAAGCAGGAACAGCCTTAGTTTTGGTCTCCTTTTATATCTAAAGCCCTGCCTGGCTGCTTTATCTTTTGCCTCTCGTTCATTTCTACAAGTCCTATGGTCCTTTGTCACTAAGGTATAATTTGGTTTCCTACCGACAGCTCCCCTCACTGGGGGTAAGAACTTTAAAGTAGTCTTATTAAATGAAAGACCAAAGAGAAATGATGACAGACAAATGGAGGGGAAACCGGAGGGTACAAGACCTCATCCCAGTTGTAGCATCTCTGGATTTCAGTAACTTCTGTCCATCTCTATGACACTAGTGGACTAACTTTGCCTCTGTTAAGGTTTGTGTCTAGATGTCCCCCCAAAGCCTCTTGAACTTTTAGATGGGGCTTTTTCAGAGGTAGCTGAATCTTGAGCTTGTGACTGATTCATGGTACAATGCTGGGATTAAAGGTATGGAATTAAGGGTGGATGACTGCTGGGTCAGTGTGCTGACTGGGATGGCCCTGCCCTATCCCCAGTAGTCTGGATAAGATAAAAGGGACAGAAAGAGGATTGTTTCTTCCTCTAGCTTGCTGCTTTTGCTGTCTTCCACTGCTGAACTGTTGTCCCTCTGCCATGCGCCACCTGCCTTGGAGCCAGCTTTTTATGAACTAAAACTTCTACAAACTGAACTAAATAAACCTTTCCTCCTTTAGCTTTAGGTGTTGGGTATTTTGTCTCAGCAATGAGAAAGGTAACTAAGCCAGCCTCCAAAGCTGAGGTATCATATCACGCTAGACTGAAGACCAATCAAGTGATAAAGGACAAAACCTGAGTGGAGATTAATTATTGGTTTAATTTCCCTAGCCATAAAAGGTTGTTACTTCCATCAATTATCAGAGAGGACATATATCCTAAAGTGAAAAAGAACACAGGTCTTCTAATATCTCATCTCTGTCAATGACTACCTCTGTGACTTTATACAAATCACCCTCTTAGGCTTACCTCAATTTCTTCATTAAAGAGAGAGAGAAAGAAAGACAGAAAGAGAGGCCAAAAGACACAGAAAATACTGACACCTATCTTTCTTACCTTGTAGGGCTAGGAATGAAAGAATGTGAATAAAATCACATATGCAATTCACACTGAAGACAGGAGGTACTCAAAAGGTTAATTTTATTCCTCTTATTGTCAACTTTCTGAAGTCAAACCCCAGCTAGTATTTTATTGCTGCTCATCTCCACAGACAGAAAAGTAAAATCTTTTGAAATCAGAATTCTTAACAGCTGAAATCAAGGCTCCAAATTGCCAAGAAAAATAAAGAAATCAAAATGTTTAACATACTCTGCTGGTAAGGACTGAGAAAATGTAGTATCAGCATCGGAAGAGAAAGGGATGTGTGGCACTGAAGGGGTTCTTTGGATTAACTAAAGAGCAAAGAATACTTCTGCCTAGAATATTCAAATAAATACAGAAATGGTTTGTTTCCTTTTTAGCACAAGCTTATTTATTGCAACTGCCTACCTGACTTTCCCCATGCTGAGAGTATGAGCGCAGTGGCAGAGCACTTGCCTAGCACGTAGAGGGCTCTGGGTTGGATTCCCAACACAGCAAAGAGAAAGAAGCATTTTACGCACATAATTACAGAAAGAGCAAGGCGCCCCTTTAATATGTTTATAGTATCAGAAACAAAACAAAAGAGCCAGGAAATGAACAAACTCAAAATTCAAGCTCTTTCTTCAAATGGCATACATTTCCATATGAAACACCAAAATAGGAGTTAAATACACAAGGGTCAGAATAAATCTTTCTTCATGACTGTTGGCCAAACTCGTCTTGAATACAGGAGAATTTCTGAACTTTCTGAACGATTTTTCAGGAGTGATAAGTAACCCAGTAATAATGTTAAGTCTCCAACATGAAGAATCTTGGCAAGAAAAACAGACATTTAATTCTACTTAGAAGTTAGGGCAGCCCCGCCGGTGTGCTCCCACATGAGGTCAGGCCCATGGCTCTTATCCGGCCTTTATGGAGATTTAATGTCATTTACCCTTGGCTTTTATGAACCTGCTGCATAATCTCACCTTTTCTAATGTGTATTTCCATCTAGTTCAACATTGCAATTATGAACCTCTGATTTTGAAAATGATTAAGAAATGAATCCCACATGGTTTTTTTTGCAAGTCCTATAACTTGAGTCTTTCTTCTATAGTCTCAGAGAATTCAGAGATCAGCATATTTCTTGTTTTTAAGGTGTACTACAGAAACACTCTGAGGTTTGATACATTTATGTAAACATTTTCAAAGAAGGCAAAATGTATAATTCAAGAAAATGTTCTGTGAAAGAATTTGTTTTCTGATTACAAAATGATTTCCTGCTTTTGAAAAAACTAACAATTTTGTATTTACTTAGCTGGCTCAGAAGGTCCCATGAAGATTATCATTCCTTTCAATCCCTAACATCTTTTTTCCAGGTGCAGACCTTTACTGATTTCAAAGGTAGCTTTATGTTGAGAAGGATTCTACAAGCTGTGGAAAGGAAAGAGAAAATAATCCTCCCAACTTAACCCCTTATGCTTTCTCCACAAAGAACCACAGAGTGAAACAAACCCCTTACAACACAGATGTGACACTCGAACGAACACGACAGGAAGATTTTGCACATGCCTTTGACTTCCTTTTTCCAACCAGAGTAAAACAACTTTGATAAAGGCAGGAGTGTGTCTGACAACAGACATACAATATCCAACATCCACAATGTTGGCACTTTTTCCAACAAGCGCTTCACATCACCAACATTTATGAACAGGAGCAACACCCACACACCCTCAGAGCTAAGGAGAGATAGTTACCTTTCCACAGTTTTACCATGTAGCAGACAAAGTCAACCTGAGGGCAGACCCCTTCCACAATCTGGGCTTTCATTCTAACTCCACTGCAGCGCATACTTTGAAAAGCCTGTTGCACATCTCCCACTATTACTAGCCCCTTTCCTCCAAAGTAGCGGCAGAATCTGGCAGGCCCAGTGACCTTAGAGAAGTCTCTGGTTAGGTCCTAACTTCTCTAAGGTCTCGGCCACCGTGAACCATCCCTGTAATAATAATTCCATCCCCTCTTCATCACAGGGACATGTAGTGAGGTCACAAGGGAGACAAGAGTTTAAGGGTTCATAATAAGAAACCATGGAGCACCCATACTGCACATAACACGGTACAGATGATTCCAAAGTGCAGTTTGGACACTGGGCGTTCTGGCACATGCCTGCAATCACAGCATTCTGGGCAGCTAAGGCAGGAAGATCATAGGTTTGAACCCAGCCTGGGCAACTCAGAAGCTCAGCATTTCAAAATAAATAAGGCTGGGGATGTAGCTCAAGTGAAAAGGCCCAGGGTTCAACCCCTAGCACTAAAATAAATTTTAAAAAGTCCAGTCTGGGGCTCCTATTCTGTGTCTAAGTGTTTTAGGAGGTCTACAAGATCAAACTACATTCAAAATGACACTAAGATCTTAATTTCTTCCTTCACTTTCATTTTCTCAGGATATACAGTAGTCTGCCAGAGGCAACAAGGGATGTGAGATGTTCTCACTCTGATGATTAGTGGAGTACGCGCCTTTGAATCCCTGCGTTTTCATATATTTTATTTTCTCATTAAATATTGATAGGTACAATCTCCTTGGGATCTTCAATAACTTTCAAGCGTGTAATGAAGTCTTGTGACTAATTTGAAAGCCATCAGCCGAGAACTTCAATCCTATCCAAACTTGCAGCTTGCAAATGGGCTGATTTCTCACCCACCCAGAGCCTTTCTCTGCGATGCTCCCTCTGCAAAGGAGATTCCCCTACTTTGCATGGCTAATCTCTTCTGGTGTGCTATGATTTTCCAAAGATAGGTCATGTGGCCCTGCCATGTGCTTAGCAAGCACTTAGCACACTATGATGTGATTTTCTGGTCATTTTGTATCCTTGTCTACTCCCTTGCAAGGATCCCCTATTCTGACATTTAATCCTATCCCCAGCTCTACTCCATGTGGGACCACAGACGCATGTGAACTGAAGATTTAGCCATTGTCCCCTGTCCCTAATTTAGGGTTTACACAGGACAGTCTCACTAAGAAGTCCTTTTCTCATTGTTCGTTGTACTTAAATCTTTTCTTTCTGTTAACAATGAATTAATTTGGGGGCTGGGGATTTAGCTCAGCGGCAAAGCGCCTGCCTGGCAAGTGCAAGGTCGTGAGTTCGGTTCCCGGTACCGGACAAAAACCAAAAAAAATTAAATTAAAAAAAAAAAAACAAAAAAAACCCAATGAATTAATTTGTTCATTTATTAAAAATAAATGTTTCTTCTACAGTACCGAGAAAACAGGAAGAAAGGTTTGTGATTTCCATATACTGTGGCCCCATACTGTGGGGCAAGCTCTGCCTGACGCATCTAACTTCTTTCTCTCCCTCCTAGGCAAGGTGTTCTCAAGGAAGGCTCACAGCTTCCCCCTGGGCAGAAAGTGGTGTTAGGCATATTTAATATAGAAAAGCATGTTGTAGAAAACACAAGGATTAATGCAAAAGATAAATCTGCCAGAATCACAGTGTAACACACATGTTTGAGATGAAAAAAGCATACAAAGTAGTAACCTTACTGACCTGGAGAAGGGTCCCATGAATATGGTTTTGCCGGAAGCACTGGTCAGTGCAGTTGGGGAGTGTAGCCAGCAGGGCTCGGATAGTACTGGGAACCTGGTCTATCATAACAAGTGGGACCAAAGCACGGGCTGCCATTTCCCGGGAGCGGTAGATAGGTGAGCGGCCGCACCTAGGAGAAAATAAAAACACAAGCCGATTCGGTGCTTGTCTCAACATCGGTGGCTGTCCTACCTCGCCTGCTCACATAGCCTAGGGAAGAAGGTGGCAGGAGGTGCTCCTATGCCAGATGTTTTCTATACAGTACTTCATTCACTCCTAATAATGTTTTGTATTTGCATTAGTTCTACAGGTAAAAACTTTAATTACAGGAGTTAGTATAAGGGCCCCTCCAATGTACTAGCATCCCTGTGTTGCAGCACAAGTCCTGTTAACATAAAGACTCGCTCCCCTGGAGCTGTAAATCGGCTTGTGATTCATTTCTCAGGTACTAAAGTCTTGTAAATATACTCAAGAGCTGGATCCTGCATAGTATGGAACAAAAAAATTATACATACATTTCCATCATGGGATTAAATGTAGACATTTGGTTTGGGAAAAATAAAACAAATTGGTAGTAGCAAAAATGGCTTACTTTTCAACAATGAAAAGGTATTTATTGGGTGTTTAAAATGAAAATGAGCAAAAAGCATTGTGAAGCTGACTGTGGCGGCACATGCCCGTAATCCCAGCACTTGGGAGGCTGAGGCAGGAGGACTGCCACAAATTCAAGACCAGCCTGGGCTACATAGTGAGTTCAAAGCCAGCTTGAACTACATAGTGAGACCCTGTCTCAAAACAAACAAACAAACAAAAGCACTATGATATATGCTGTGAAGAGTAAGATCGCCTTTGTCTCTGAGGAGCCCATACTCTGGTTGTCAAGATGAGAAGTACCAAGAGCACAAGACAGTATGGAGAAAAAGATAAGCAAATGATGTTGGCATTATAGCTAGAGGAAATGAGAACAGGAAGGATGGGAATCACAAAGGCATGATTCAAGCAGGACAAGAGAAAGCAGGAAGATGTTTGACCAGGGTCAATGGTGTGAAGCAAGGGCAGAAACACTCCTGGTATATGGATTTGTATCTGACCTCTAGTAGAGGCTGATGACTAGGAGTGGAAGGTATGGCTGAGAAGTGGGGCAGGCTGCAAGTCACCAGATCCTTGCCTTTGGGCTTACTCACACCCAGAGAACTGGAATACAAGCTGGGTCTTAAACATGTGAAAGCCATCACCAAGTGGGATTTTGAGATTCTAGAAGAGTCACTGGAAAGGCTGGTCAGCTAACAACTTCTTGACTTTATAAACACTCCGAGCTTAACAAGCCACACCCATTTTGCTAAAGCTGTGTGCCAGAGAGCCTTCAAAGGCACGGGATTGAAAGTGTGAGAGAGAAGGCCAGTATGGCAAGTTCTGCCTTAAATAAATTCTTGACTAGAACTCTCTAGATATCATCTTTTATCCAACTAAAAAAAAACTAAGTGTATAGAAATACCTTAGATGCCAAGATAAGAGTGAGGAAGATGAGCATACCGCAGACTCTGTAGGGGGAAGGAATGGCCTTTGAACTTTTTAAAACATTAATCAATGTTCCAAGAAGGAATTACTGGTAAGATGCGATCCACTAGGACCACATGGCCATGTAGTCTTAGCATGTGGATAGAGCCCTTTGACTAAAATGCTTCTAATCCTTTAGAGGTATCACCAACACTTATCTTAATATGACAGTAAATACAGAAACAATTTTTGTATAGATGGAATGACCTGAGTAGAAATTCATCATGGTTGTGGAGGGGAGGTGGAGGTAAGGAGAGGAGAAGAGGTATAGGGCCCGTGACAATGTTGTGTCAGCTTTCCTCAAAGATGGGAGGTCTGTTGGTAGTTTGGTCAGCATACAGATTCAGGATGAGGAAGTGCTCACACCACATCAATCCCTTGGGAAGACACTGAAAGCTAAGGTTATAGTAGGGAGCTACAGTTAGAGGTCCTACTGGTCTTTGACTAGGTTCTGAAAATTCCACCCATTTTTTCACTTGTTTTCCTTTAAAATGACTAGTGTTTAATCTGTAATTAGTGAATACAGTAAAATGTTTGCTCTGGCCTATGGGGGGAGAAAACTTCATTGGACAAAGAAAAGAACATACTCTGAAAATGCTTAGGAATTTAATTAGCAAATGACCTCCCTGGCACAGTCATTTGTCGGAAGCTTCCCTGCTGTCTGTCCCCCAGCCCTAGGACACACACGCTTTGTGTTATAGTGTGTTTTATGTCACGGAAAGCACTTGTATGTAAATGTTTCCCTTCAAATACAAATAACTCTGACACGGCTACAGATATTTATGTTCCAATTAGCAGTAACCCTACACGAAAGAGTCCCCTTCCCTTTCTGCTCCTAACTTTTCACAAATGACTATTTCCCAAAGAAATCTGGCATGCACACAGGAGAAAGAATGGAAAGTGGGAACAGTGCCAAAATGTTCTACTTTTGGATACCCAGTGGTAGGGTACTTTTTAAACACACACAACCAGGTTAAAAAGCAAAATTAAACCACTCCTAAAAAAACCATGCAATTGCCACAGAGAAGAGAAGCCAATTTTTAAAGCAATATTTAATTAAATAACATTCATTATAAAGCATTAGTTAAATGTAATCTCAAACACCATTTCAGGACAAATTGTTTAAATGGAAGGCTAGAATGTATACAGAGCTGAATGTATACATTCAGATGCAGGTATCTGTACCTGTTATACATGACGCACACTGAGCCGAACCACACTTCCAGGTTATTGTTTTGAGAACTGTTGGGGGTGGGGGGTGATGTGATGAAACCACTGAGAATCTAGTGGCTATCAGGGTGGAAAATGACAATGTCTGGGTTTTCATTCTGCTTTGGACACTGTGTACATTCTAGAGCAGCGGTGGTGAACCCACGGCATGCATGCTGCAGCAGGCTGTTTGTTATCACTGAAAGCTCTCAAAGGTTTGCTATCACAAGCCCAGTCACAGAGCCTGGCCATGGAGGATGTGTGCTTTTGAGGTCACCTCCATCCTGCCTCCCTGTCACCCAGGCCTGACCTGGGCTGACCTGCCACAGGCTGTTAATTGCAGGCTGTGAAAACGGGAACTGCTGGGAGCTGGGAATCGGCCTCTATCACCTCGACATCTCTTTACTTGCCCTACCAGAACTAGACACAGCACTCAGCCACGTCACGTGGCACAAAGGCAAAGGCAATGGTTGCCTGCATTCGTACCATTCCTGTCAGGGCTAGGAAATAAAGTGAGGGAATTTTCCAACAAGAGAGGTGAAGGTGTGCAGCAGGGTAGTTACTTTTAAAGCTTAGGGCAATGTACCTTAATCATTCAGATTTACAAAGAGTTCCTCAATAAAATGGAAAAATGCATGACTTTCTAAATGCTAATCCCAAGTTACTTGCTGTTATCAATATGTAGAGATGCTAGTGTAAAAATTATATATCTGAAATTTCATTTAACTCTTTCATCAGTTTCTGCCTAGAAAACAACAAACACAATTTGAAACTAGAGTTTTGAGATTCCAGCCAAATGTGTTAGACAGCCACAAAGGAGACTTTCTTTTTCCCAGAGCAGGGAAATGTGCTCTACCTTAACAATAATTCTTTTCTAACTCTGGGAAAAACATGGAGAAGACTTTATAGCAATATCCATACAAAGACAGCAGAAGGGCTGGGGATTTAGTTCATGGGCTGGGGATTTAGCTCAGCGGCACAGCACCTGCCTGGCAAGTGCAATGTCGTGAGTTCAATTCCCGGTACTGGAAAAAGCCAAAAAAAAAAAAAAAAAAAAAAAGGGCAGAAGCTTAAAGATGAAAGGAAAACAATTCATTTCAATCATTATCCCAAATACAATAGCGTGTTAGGAAGTAAACAGTATATGAAGGTCTAGCATAAATAGGCTAAAACATTCCTAAGTATTGAAACTTCTGGCTCCATCTTTCCTGCCAATCCATCTGGGGTTTTCTCTCCGACTCCAGAGCACTGAGCTGCACCCTTGTCAGTGCTTCCCTCCGCATCAGGTGGAGAAGCATTTCCGGGCTCCCCTAGGGAGTCTCAGGCTGCGACGAGCCCTGGGCACAGCAGGGGCTCGGGGGTCAGTCTATGCAGACTAAGTGAGAAAGCTGCTGCTGCTCTCAGTGGCCAAGTCCCTCGCAGTGTTTCTGTTTGAACTCCACAAAAGACCAGAAGATGAGAACATGGAGGTGGCCACTAATTCTTTCAAGGGGTTGAACCTAACACCTAGCCTCAGCATGCCCTCCTCCTTTGCTGGAGAGAACAGGCCGGACAGATCAGTCTGAAAGGGCTGGGTCTGCTTTTGGTGTGGTCCTTGCCCAACAGCCAAGTTCTCAAAATGATTTAATACATTTGAAACTTGCCACATTAACCTTTAGGGTGAGTGGTTCCACACTTACAATGAGGGATTTTTTTGTTTGCAGACACTAAGCTGGGTGGTCAGTTTAAGAAACTAAAAGGTATAGAGAGAATTTATCCTCTTCTTTTAACAATACTATATTGGGGCTGGGGATTTAGCTCTGCGGCACAGTGCCTGCCTGGCAAGCGCAAGGTCGTGAGTTCGACTGCCGGTACCGGAAAAAAAACAAAAAAAACACACAAAAATAACAATACTATATTTGTGGGGGTTTAGAAAGGAATGCTTTTGTTCTCATTTGAACAACAACAAAATTTTTTTTAAGCGTTCAAATGTTCCAGAACCCATGCTAGATCTCTACTGCCACACTGATACAAATTTCTCATTCCGGTATTCATAGTGGCCTACACCTAGCCCGAGACTAGCCGAACAAATCAATCAAATTTGACTATTTTAACTTAATTTTGGGGTGATTATCTCTGAAAGGATATTAAAATCAAAGCACCCAGGGATTCAGGTGAGTGTTCAACACACACTGACCATTTTTAAATAGTAACTTTATTTTATTTTTTATTTTTTTTTGTTTTTGTTTTTGTTTTTCTCCGGTACCGGGAACTGAACTCACGACCTTGCGCTTGCCAGGCAGGCGCTTTTGCCGCTGAGCTAAATCCCCAGCCCCTAATAGTAACTTTAAATGTGAACAATTTTATTAATTTCCCTTTGACAAG